CTGTCAAACACATGCACACACACAAGTGTGTATTTATAACCAAATTAAGACATTGTATTAAACTTCAGTTTATGACAATGACTCAATTTGTGCCTAAACATGACCATTACATTAACCTTAACCTCAATTGTACTCTTTAGCCCTAAACCTAACAGTAGTGCATGACTACAGCAGCACTGGGTTTTAGTCTGTCGTCAAGTAAAGAAATTCTAATAATGGCAATACTTCTAAAACTAATGAAAGAAGACATATTCCTTCCAAAATAAAAAGTAATTCTCTGTCCCATAGCAGTTCAACGCCCTAACAAGCTTGAATGAATGGTAATAATTTTATTCTCTCATAAGAGATGAGATAGGTGAACCTCTCTCTCTGAAGCTTACTCATGTTAGACAGGAGCTCTCACTGCAAACATTTATCATAGCAGATAGATATATAGATAGAACGTCAGTAAAAGAGTGGGCAAAGGAGGCTGGGCTAATGCTTAGACAGCCAGCAATATAACATAGGTTTTATATAAAATATAGTTGTTCTTTGGACTGATGTGACAAAAAAACGAATATGAGGGAATACTTTAGATGTGTAATTGCGTGCATGTACTTTAGAGAAATGTGCGTGTTTTTGGACATTTTTCTTTCAACTAAATACGTAAATGTGGATAATGATTCGATTTTTATTTATTTATTTTTTTTGAGACTTCAGTACCACAATAAACGAAAAAATTTTTTTGAAGATTTTAACCCATATTTACTAGCAGTGCCTAGTGGTGTCAGACATTATTGACACCTGAAGCCATTCTATCTATATATAGATAATAGTGCCAAAAATCTTCAAGTGTACATAAGTGGAAATAATGTTGGTACCTCTCTCTTAATGAAGGAAAAAAAAAACATAATGATCTCAATCTAAATGAAATCTGTTAAAATTTGAGTGTGGTACACGCCATGTCACCAAACAGCACAGTGACTACCAATTACCCTATATACCCACTGACTGATAACAATAATGTCACCTGCAATACTAGATAGTTGACACACCTTCATTTGGCTCGTCCCTTTGGTCACATTATTTTCATTCTTTTCTAGAGGAACCATCATTTTGGTCCAGGCCTTTTTCATTGTTTAATATTCCAAAATAATTCTGTAGAAGTATGGTTAAAGAAGTCACGTGACATTTCTTCTTTTTTTTTTTCAGGACTTTCTATTGATTACTTTTGTCAGAAGTTATTTCCGTGACCATTGTCAGATTTTATTTGATTAAATAAGGGGTACCAGCAAATTTGTCCATATATGGAAGAGCTGAAAAATGTTTAAATTAAATATAGTTCAATTTCTCTTACTGTGTATAAGAAATGCAAAACTATTATTTACAATTAAATGAAAAGGAGATTTCTCTGATTCATTGGGAAAATCCCAAGTTCTGGTTTAGAGGTCCTCAGAGTGCACTTTTAGACCTACAAGAGAAACATAATTGGCCATTATGCAGACATACTGCATATCCCAGATCCATTTACATAGACCAACACAATGAAATGCTACAGCAGATCTGAAAAAGCCATTAGCATGCTAACTGAGATGTTACTGCTTATTATGTAAGGAGGGTGCACTGTCTTTGCTAATTTGCACTGGCATGAGCATGCATTCTCTCTCCATAGGGTGACTTTATTCCCAAGGAATAGCAGCTTCTTATTAAAATCTAATTTTGTGCCGTTTTCTCCAAAGAACAAGTATTTAATGAAACAGGACTACAGGGTCTCTAATGAGCACAGGGCTACACCATATTTCACTGTGCATATATAAGGTTCAGAGCTTTTATGAAACAAACACCTTCAGTTATTCTCCAAGCTACTCTCTACTACTATCACACCAGCTACTATCACACCATAAAACACAGTTATGTTTTCATGGATGGAACTTTTTCTCCTAAAAAAACATGGGATAATACATTGACTCTGTTTAGATAAACTACAGGGTTTGAATTTAATTCAATAAAAGAAAAACTATATATATATATATATATATATATATATATATATATATATATATATATATATATATATATATATATATATATATATATATATATACACAGTATATATAAAGTTTATACAAAAGTTGACAGCAGTTTGGCAATTTTATATAAAATGGGAGGGGGTTATATAATACAAATATATTTCACACAGAGTAACATTTCAAATATGCTGTTATTTCTGAAGCAGTATTGACTGCACACTTTTATGAAAAAAACTAAAGTGGTAGCAATCTAACTCTTTCTGAAATTCTAACTGCTTAAACTTCCATGATACACTCAAAACTACATATGTTAAAAATGCTATAAACTTGGTTTAGAAAATGCATTGCTCTCATAAGCAACAAGTGTTTCTTAATATTTAAACAGCTCTTATTGCTAATTTGAGCATCTCCTACTGCATAGAGGTCATCTTGGTAATGCTGAACACAAGGCTCTGTTTGGTATGGTGCTGAACAGAGACCCAAAAGTCTACATGGTAAAAGCCGTTGCGCTCATCCAGGTAATTCAGGGGGGAAAAGTAAAAAAATATATATAAAAAATGGACAAGCAATGGAAAATGAAGATATGTGTTCGGAGCTACTTGTGTGACCTGAATTTTTATACACCTTTACTTCATACAAGCAAACGTAATACATAATCATATTATCGCACCAGAGTACAGTTGTTTTCAGACATCAACTAGTGTGCACTAGAGCTGCAAATACCGATTATTTTGCTTATAGATTAACCTGTCGAATATCTTTAATCATCGGATTGCAAAAGGTTCCTTTTTACAAAATGAAACCAGGTAAAACTATAATTTTTCCTCTTGAGAAGTTCTGGATAGAGCATATTGACAGGTAAAAAAGTTATTTTTATCATAAAAAAATGTTTACATATTGTTTTACAATTTTGCTGTAAATGCTGCTCAAGGTGGGTTGTTCTGTCAGCTAAAGGCATGTTTTAGAATCTGTGTATTCCAGTTAATGATTATTCGATTACTCAATTAGTTGACGATTATTTCAATAATCGATTATTCCGTGTCATGATCTTGGCGTTGATGTGGAGCCTTTCTGGAGAATTCTCTAAGAATGATTGGAGTTTTCTGATTGCCTGATCCTGACCCGTTCTGCATTTGGACCACTGAGCTTGCCTGTTCTCATTCTCATCTGTTTTCCTGACTTGTCTTTGGTCTCCTGATGGACCTTGGAACTGATTCTTGACACCGCCCTGGATTTCCCTTTGGCACCTCTTCCGACATCTGATCTCCTGGCTCTGAGTCTTGAGCATGTCGTCCACACCGGCTTTGGCTTTGCCCTCTGAATTACAGTGCCTTCTTTCATCTGTTTGGATCTGATTTCCTGCCTGTCCTCCGACCTCTGGGGCTTTAACATCTGGGACTTTCTGGGCAGCGTTTGCTGCTTCTTGTTGGAGGCACACCGGCTGGAACCTACCTCTTACTCTCGGCATGGACTGAACTTTAAAACTAGGTTAGTGACTCACACGTTCATAATCTTCCTCCGCCAAATTGACATTGTCACTAACCTGTGTTCTCTTTCTGCAGTGGTTCCTGTCTTAGACGCTCTTGCTGTTCACCGCACATCCGTTACAATTGATAAACGCTTTTTTTGAGATATCAAACTGTCCGTTTGCTTTGAAAACTGGGTCCTCTGTTCTGAGCCTTGACAATTCGATTAATTGTTTCAGCCCTAGTGTACACCAGAGTTCGGCTAGAGCTGAACTGAGAGCAACTCTTCAGGCTGCACTAATTTGGTGAGTATTAGAGTCATTTTTTGCTTTCATTCTGAACCAAAGGGGATCAAATTTAGATCACTCTAAATTTAAATCAAACTAAAGCTGCAGTTGTGAAAATATCCTTATTCTGCTGTCTTGTTTTTTTTTTTGTGAAACAGCCCTCTGGTATCCATTGGAATCCAGGCTAAATCATCTCATAGCAAACTACATAATGTATGGACACAACGCTTAAAATTTGTTGTAGAATATAGTTATTAATATAATAGCAGAATGCAGTTATTTTTAAAATACCACAAAATGCAAATTCAGACTTAAATCTGAAGAGATGTTGTGGACCATCTGTCCTCTGTGGGAAATTTTGAAAGCCATATGTCTAGTTTAAGCATGCTATATATCTGCACCATGTGTTTCTGGCCCAGGCAGACTACCTCCTCTTCCACTTGGGAGAATCTGATGGGAAATTTCTTTTGCATTAACGAAACATCATCATGTCAGTTTCAGGAGCAAACAGCTTTTAAATGGAATGAAGATAGTTGATTGGATTGGCTGCAGCAGATGCCAGCCACTGACTCAATATACAAGGATGTATTCCCAATCAAGGCCAGTTTCTGAGCTACTGCAAAGGTGCCAACTGTGTCACAGGTGTCCGCTCCTGGATGTGCATAAGTGGCCGCATCCTGTGTAACCTACACAGCTGGCAGCACTGTGAAACCATGGCCTGCTAATTCATCTTCTCTTCCCCATCAGCATGGTGAGAGAGAAAGCAAACAGGAAACGCAAGAGGTTTCCTTCAATCTGTCTGAACTGTGTAATTGCTGAAATATAATTACTTTGAGTGTTTGTCTCTTCAACAACTTCCCCAACCTGGGAAATTGTCCATTTCTAGTCCAGGGCATGATTAAATTCTGAGTATTTTCACATTTCTTACCAAAACAGCCTCAGATTCTCATAAAGAAAAAAGATAAAACACAAGCTTTATAAGTGCTCAGGGATATTCTGCCATCCATGATAATCCTGTGTAATTCCCAGCAATTTCCCACTTTCAAAATGCAGCACAATTAAAATCAGTGTGTGACAGTAATGCGGCGAATCAGACCCTGTGACATTCAACTTTAAGCATCACAGGTTTCTGATTTCTCCTCCTTTTGCTGGATGTTAATATAACATTTTCTACAGGTTTACAGCTGTAAAACAGATGACAGCATGTCATGAAGAAGTTGCATCCCTATAGCACCTACCAGAATTGTTGCCCGTGCTGGAACTTGACATACTGTTAGCCATCTGTGTAGGTGAAGGCAAACTGAAGGTCATGTTGGTAAAGTTGTTGTTAGGCTGCTGTTCACACAGCAGCATATTGATGCTTCCAAACATGTCCTCTTGAAAATTCAGGGACTCAATAGCCTTAAAGTTCATGGAGTTTCTCAGCCTGATTACCTGGGTTATACAATAGTTACAACAAAATAGTTAATTTTCATCTTTGTCATCTGGGTCATATTAAGATTCTTCACAAATGTGAGTTTTGTCAGCACCAACATTTTCGATCAATGGTAATGCATCTCTGGTGGTTTTCGTCAGTAGTGACTCTGTGTCGACTGAGTCCTGGTCCAGAGCAGAAGGGAGCTTGAACAATAAAGAAGCCACAAAGAAAAGTATATCAAAAGTATATCAACAAAAGTATATCAACAAACAAGTATAATCAACAAACAAATAGCACAAATCAGGTCACTAAACCAATTTTTATATATATATATATATATATATATATATATATATATATATATATATATATATATATATATATATATATATATATATATATATATATATATATATATATATATATATATATATATTCTTATGTCACAAATTGGGAGGCACAATTTTAAAGTTGAAAGAAAATTACTTTCTTTCTTTCTTTTACAGGTAAAAAAAATTTTCAGCCCCTTTACTCTGACAGCTCTTAATAAAATTCACTGCCACTTCCAATCTTCAAAAGTTGCCCGATGTATTAAAGTTGACATGTGGGTAATTTTTTTCTGTCCTTAAATGAACTTGTTTCGTTCAATAAAAGTGAAAAAGCATTATGGTCACACAGCAGGCAGCTCGCGGGGAAAGTTGTGAAGAAGTTCAAAGCATGATTAGGTTTCATACTACTTTAATAGAGGAGGTAAAATGGAAACTTGATGTAAACTAGCATTTTAGGAGACACACTTACCTAGTACCATTTAGACTTGTTGATTGAAAAACTATTTTTAATTGAACAGATATCTGCCAGAGCAGCATTTGGATAATATAAACAAAACTGCACATACTGTAAGAGTATCTAAAAACTTTTAATAACTGCTTACAAACTGACCCAATCATGGCTTGGATGGCACTTAGTGAGATGATAAAAACTTGGATCATTGTTTCTTAATCAAACCCTATTTTATGTGTCTGCTCTGTTCCTCGATCTGTTATGTAAGAGTATGAACACAATCAGTGCATCACCACTAATTAGAGAAGAACAGTATGAACACAATATGAGAAAAATTGAGTTTTCAGCTAGAAACTCGCTGTTAAAAAAAGGGGAAAGACATGAAACAAGCCATGAAGCTGAATCATCATGCATGTATCTGGTTACAGATTCTTCTGTTTCTATAAAATACTTCTAGTGAAAGCTAATGAAGGGATATTTCCCTTTCTTTATATAACAAACATACTATAGTCATATTAAACCCAATAATGTAAGATTTTAAGCACATGGCCTTGGGGGACACCTAGGGCATCATACACGCAAGAATGACAACTGATTAAGAAGTTTAAAACAATAAGTATCAACTGAAGGAGGTTGTTAAGGTAAGGGCTGCAAATCTCCAAAGATTATTATTGAAGAACTGCTGTAACTTTTCCATTATGAGATTATTCTTTAACAAAGATATATAATTTTAAGGCTATGTTGCTGTATTGCTGGAATATATCAGTAAATATAGAAAATACAAGCTTTTTATGTCTACTTACATTATTAAAGGTATAATAATAATCTTAGTCTCTGTATTATTTGAGGAAAATTGTACTGTAAACTCTTACCACTTCCTGTTACTTTCTGAAAGACCTTTAGCATGAATATGTGTGAATAAGGTCTGAGGAAATAAATTGTATGCCCTTTTAAACCACTGTCACTTCATACATCAAGTGTCATTGGTAGCATTTACCGTATTTAAAGTGCTTGTTTTGTCTTTGGTGTTACTCAATTCAGACAGAACATGAAAAAGAATAAAAACAAAACAAAATCATTGACTGAAGATGTCATGTCTGGACATTGTTATGTTCCACAATTTTCTTTGAGCTTTCAGTAAGTTCATTTACATTGAATCATGACAGTGATGGATTTTTAATTAGATCTTGTTCTTGGATTAATTGTGACATTTAAATCCAATGTCAGTCTTCAACATCCGCTCAACAATTTAAAACCTTCCCCTAGTTTAAGGGACCTGACTTAAAAATATTGGTCAATTTCCCCAAGCCTCTGCTTAGTTTATCAGAGACATGTTGTGTTGAGTGTTGTGTTAGAACTGGGACACATTTGGAACATGCAGGACACCAAGCCCATTGGGACTGGAGATGGACACTCCTGATTTGAACCATTTATTTGTAGCTTTGGTTGTATGTTTAGTATCAGAGAGATTTTCTGACAGGACTATCCTGTATTTAAATCAGCCCATTACCCATCTGTTCTTGCTCTAGTTGATTCCTGGTCCTAACTTAAGGAAAACAACGCCACTGCGTAAAAGCAGCATTTCCACTGTCATATTTTAAAGTGGGGATGCTACGATAGGCTACTTTTTGAATGTAGGCCACAGTGCACAACATAGGTCTCAATATGCAACACATCTTCTTCCAGTCTACGTTGTTTCGAGTTTTGGAAAAAAAAATAAATAAATAAATGTGTAGCTCTCTTTTAAGATGTGATTTTTTTTTCTGACATTATTCCTAAAAGATTAAATGTATAAGATGCAGGACTCAAGGTAATCCTACTTACAAACAGACCAAATCATGCATTGAAATGTGCTTAATGAGTTGGTAAAAATGTGGATTATTGTTTTCTAATCAAATCCTGGTTTTTGTTTCTCCTTGACCTGTCTGCTGTATTCCTTTGGTGTTAAAAGTTGTGTATCTACCTCACACCGGACCCATTTCGAGGTGCTTTGGTACATAAAATCCAAATAAAACCCATCAATGTTTAGCTGTCTTGCTAATTCTGGCATATTTACATTGATGCTTTAAGATGACATGTTGATAAATGTGCAGTTTCCTATTTCAAATAAATAAATAAATAAGAATAAATAAATGTTTATATTCATAACATAAGAAAATGGGAAAAAAATGTCTGTCTATCTTTCTATCTGTATACTTTACTTTTTTTAATCATCAGCCTTTATTATGTAATGAAAACCCTCCACACAAAAGTGAGAAAACCTCATCAACTTCAGTTTATCGAGTCTGACTCCTTTTCTTGTCTTTTTCTTTGTGCTGTTGCTGTTATCACAATCACTCACCAATGTCAAGCTTTAAGTGTGAAAGCACTGATGTTCTTTTCCATCTATCTGCTTGAGGCGCTCAAGAGCTTTTCCACCATATCTTGCCTGGTCCCTCCTTTTTTCTATGCCTGAAAACGCCTGTGGGCTTAAATTGTTCAAAAAGCTTTCCCCTTCGAACTCCTGGCCTTATCACTTATTTATTGAATTTTCTGTCCCATATATTTTGTCTCAAATATAAAGTCAAAGAAAAGTGCAGCCTTTCATTATCTCTAAAGAAACCTGAAACAAATATTTAAAATAATAGAGAAAAACATTCGCTGTAATGAATAACTCCTTCATAGCTGCACACAGTACATTGAATAAAAGGAAAACATTAATTAATACCTATAAGATATACTGAAGCATTAAGTTGCTGATAGGCAGTTGGTACTGATTTTAGATGTAAAGTATTCAATATTTCTTCCTCCCTTCTTTAATTCACACAGCAGTTTAAATTATTCAGAAAGACTTATACATTGAAGTTTTCATTACAAACAACTACCATACAAACATCCATTAACAATATAAACTATTTTCACATATGATAACAAAATTCTATGTATTCTGGGGATTTGATGTTAATGAGCAACACAAATTAGCTCATATGGTACATAAAGTAGAATGAAAATTATCCGTTCAGTTGTTCCGTGGGAAAAAAAATAAAAAAATTGCTGCGTGGCATCAAATGGGAGCTTGCATGCTAATTCCGAAATGTTTTATTTAACCCCTTTTGCTTCAGTTACATTTTTGAGGTTTTGTTTGTTGTAAGAAGTGCTGGAAATTATTGGTCTTAGACCAGAGCAGGATCTCATGTCTTGGCTCATGAAAACCAGCTTTTCCAAATAATTCATAAAAGCTTTTTCTTGCTGAAATAAATGTACAGTACTGCTAAAAATAGAGTAAAAGTGGGTTTTAAAATGCTTTACTAATGTAGAAAATACATATATTAAATACTGATTCTGTTTATTGCTTATTGTTATGTTACATATAACTTTACACAGAACCTGTAGAAAAATGTCGAATGTGTTTGGTAAGCAGTTCTGCAAGTGTGAAGATCTATTCCACTGCTTTACAGCCAAGACAAAAATAAGCACTATTCCCTCTTAAGCCAAACCTAAATTATCAGAACCTTCCCTTGAACATGCTTCATCCTGTTTCTTAACAATCATGACCACATTATAAGTCTTACATTCCACCCGCATGATTCCTGTCTCCTGTCGGTCTCTCTGCCATGTCCATAGCCTTTAGCATCTCAGACCATATCACATCCAGACTTTCCATCCTGTCACTTGGTAGCTTTTTTAACTACCTTAGCAACTCTGTCAGGATATAGTAACCACCACTACCAAAATCTTCAGAGTTTGCCACATCCAGAAAGGACATAACACAGTCTACAGTTTTCATGATCTTGATGCTGGTGACTGGGTTAATTACTAACTCCACTCACCTGTCTAACTCTGGCCAGTTTCCCATTACTGCATCTAATCCACCTGCTCCTGCCTCTAATTTCAGTCATTTCTATCCAGTCATCAGTGCCCAATTATTCTTGTTCTCTCTAGCCAGTGGTGAGAGTGTTTTAGAGTAACTTAGTGTTTCTGATTTCCTGATCCTGACCCATTTGCCTCTCACTTAGTCTGCCTGTTCTGAGCCATTTGCCTGACCTGGCTTCGGTCACCTGCATGTTCTCTGGGGCTGCAGCATCTGGGGCACTCTGGGCAGCACCCACATATCTTGCTGGCAGCCCATCAGCTTGATCCTACTTTGTTCTCTGTCTATGGACTGAAATTCTAGAGCTGGTTGGTGACTCGCATTCATAATATTCCTCAGTTGGTTTTGCGTGGTCACTAACCTGTGTTTTCCTCTCTCCAGAGTTTCTCTCTTAGACCCAATAGACCCGCTGCTACTGCAGATCTGCAGCCCGTCATTTTAATTAACCCTTTTTGAATTATCCCACTGTCTGTCTTGTCTGAACACTGGGTCCTTTGTTATTAGGGGTGTAAATAATAATCGTTTTGTATCGATGCATCGATCCAACAGCCGACGATCCGATGCATCGACCCGTCCGCAAGAGAATCGATTCATGTTTTTTTTTTTTTCCTCTGGTCTATTTTTCTCCATTTGCTCCTGGACGTTATTCTCCATCCCGTGCTGCGGTGGCGCTAAACCTATTTTGCCCTCCTACCTCGCTTCCTGGTTATACTCTTACAGCAGTGTGTTGCAGTAAGCTTGACACAGACATTTTTAAATTATGCTCAATATTGAAGCGTGGTTTGTGCTACACACTGTGGGTCTAGATACCGCCGAGGTGGCGAGGAAGTGGCGGCGAGTTTAGTCCAACGACGGAGGGACATGAGGGCCAAAAAGAGCGGAGATCCAGGTGGAAAAAGGCTCCCAGCTTTCTCGTGTACCTCGGGTCAATCTTCACGAGTTGTTTTCTGCAATTTCGGTCATAAAAACAAAACAAGCCAGCCTCCTGTCTGCGGCACTGTCTGCGGTCAGCTACAATTTGGAAGAGGAGCAGCGGAGCGTCTCTCAAGGGGGCGGGGATGTCTGGGCGGAGGTATTGCATTGCACTCATTGCACTGATTATGTGCAGTATTTTTTGATGCAACTTTTCAACTTCTGTTATTTGCTGTTGTTTCTAAAAAATAAAAAATGCATAAAGATATTACAGCTTTCATTGATTTATTTCAAACTTGAAACTTTGTTTAGCCTGTAAGGTGTAAAAAAAAATTAAAAATTAACCGATTAATCGAATCGAATCGCATCGCATCGTGGTGTATGCTTGAGTATCGAAAATAATCGAATCGTTGGGTCAGGAAATCGATACTGAATCGAATCGCCATGATGGATGTGATTTACACCCCTATTTGTTATGAGTCATGACAACAGTAGTCACACCAGGTACAGAGATCCATGTCTAAAAAATTGTGGAATGGTCTCTATTTCCCCTTTTTAAATTTTTGAAAGGTTTTCCAAAGCTTTCTTAAGGCAAAACACAGATCTTGCCTTATGCATAATCCAATCTGATTCCTCAAACCCCTCTGGACTGGCTTTTATGAGTAAAGGGCGGAGGGGAAATCCAGATGCATACTTCTTTATTAAGCGTTTCAAGAACCAGGTCATTTGGGTATTATAAACATATTAAAGTCCTATAAAGTCCTCTTTGAAATTATCTGCCTCACTGTTTGTATCAGATATAAAACCCATAAAAATAGCCTCATGCTTTAATGTACCAATATCTGAACAAGCTGTAGTATGAAGAAATCTGTTAAGAGCATTACATCAGTTGGCAGAAAATAAGCCAGGAGCAGGAGAAATAAAATGAAATTAAGTAAAGGGCATTTTTTAAAAACTTCTATTCCCTCTGACACTGATACAGGTGTGCTTCAAGGTTTACATACCCTTTCATTAAAGATAGAAAAAGTCAGCTGCTGGTAAAAAAATAGTGATATTGATTTTAAATATATGTACATACACACACATGTCTCTATATGAATAAATAAAACAGGTAAACAAGCCTGATGGAGCTTCTGAACTAACATTTTCTTGAGCAAAACTTTGAGATAATAATCACTGAAATCAGGTATTTTCTATGATGTTCAGGAAATGTTCAGTCAGATTTCTGCACCTGTTGACAGGTATATTGGTTCACTGTTCATGAGCACGGTACTTTAATTTGTCTCGGACAGTTTTTTTTTTGTTTTTTAGAATTTTTAAACAAAAGTTCAAAATCAGTATTTTATTTAATAAATTATCAGTTTGCAATGTTTTATTTAGTAATTTTTTAAATTTTTGTTATATTTGAATTACTAGTGCAAATTTATCGTTTCTTTTAATGAGGATATGTTAACTTTTAAGAATAATTATTTTTTATTAAAAAATTATTTATTTATCCTGAAGGGAAATTAAATAAGTGTATTTGTAAGTACAGTGAATGTAACAACAGATGTATTTGACGTTGATGTGTCTACTTTATATGTAACTAACTCTAGCAATTTTTAGTCCTAGAGTTAGTGCTTAATTGGGAACATGTGAAATTAATCTGCTCATTATTGAAATGATAAATTTTGAAAGTCCCAATCAAATGTAAATTAGATGTTAGAGAGTGGGTAAAAAAAATGCAAATATTAATTGATCAATTAATAGTTAAAATCTACTAACTTTTAGAAACCTTTTTAGAGCAATTTGTATAATATCTATAATTCTCTCTGATGGCGGGCTAATTTATGAAAAGTAAATCAACTCAATCTTCATTTTTGTGAGCTGAACTGAAAGAAAGTCATTCAAGAATCAATTATGTTTATAAAGAAAACACACACATATACACACACACACATATATATATATATATATTTTTTTTTTTTTTTTTTTTTTTAGCAAGTTAACCTTTTTTCTTATGATAGCTGACAAGTGTTTCCCAACTGGAAGCCAACTGAATCAACAGATCCATGCAAATATTAATTGATCAATTAATAGTTAAAATCTACTAACTTTTAGAAACCTTTTTAGAGCAATTTGTATAATATCTATAATTCTCTCTGATGGCGGGCTAATTTATGAAAAGTAAATCAACTCAATCTTCATTTTTGTGAGCTGAACTGAAAGAAAGTCATTCAAGAATCAATTATGTTTATAAAGAAAACACACACATATACACACACACACACACATATATATATATATATATATATATATATATATATATATATATATATTTTTTTTTTTTTTTTTTAGCAAGTTAACCTTTTTTCTTATGATAGCTGACAAGTGTTTCCCAGCTGGAAGCCAACTGAATCAACAGATCCAAACATTAAATAACACATCAAGCAACAATGATCATCTTATTACTTGCAAGGTTCATCCTTCATTGTCAAGTACCAATAGATAAAACAGCATGCTACATATAAAAACTTTATCTGAGTTTTCTGATCATAAGAAAACAAAGCCTAAAGAATTTCTATTTTGGCAGGTTGTGCTTTTTTTTCATCCAGAAATCACTTGACGTAGAGCAGTCATCTCTCAGATTAATCAACACTTATTCATGGAGCATTCTATACTCTAGAAGTGACCACATTGCTGTGCAGATCAATATATTTACAAGACAGATAAACCTTTATCTCTATATGGAAGCCATTCTTTGTTTTTTTTTTTTTATTTATTTCTTAGTTTTAACTGGGTCTGCAATAAGACACACGACTCATATTTTGGTTGGTGTCATGGCTTTAAATTGATGTTTCGGTTCATCTTATGTTTGTTTTAAACAAGAAAACAAATAATTTTGTTTTATTTATGTCAGCAGTAAACTACAAGTTAAAACAAAGTTGAAAATGTAGAACTGATTAGAGACTTTTTTAGGTTCTTTGTAATGAATAAAGTATTATTAGGACAAATAGCTGTTACTGGATAGTTAGCTAGACATCAGCTAGACATTAGCTGATTTTCTTCCAAAACTGTGACATTTGCATTCTCTTAAGGTGCTTGCTTTTTACGTAGTGTGGTTTCTGCATTTCTAATTATTATTAAGTTACATTTTAATCCTAGTCATAGAAAAAATACAAAACTCTATTTTGTGTGTTGAAAATTCCAGCTTAAAAAACTTTTATACCTGAAAATACCTCCAAAGAACGTTTTTATAAAAGCATTTTCAGGTGTGAATAACTTTGCAGATTCTAAATTACGACCTTTAAAATAAATAAAATAAAAACGTTTTTTTGGGGTTTTTTTTTTTACACCCAATTCATGAAATCTGTTTCTTTAAGATTTTTATGTATCTGAAATGTATTATGCAAAGTTTGGTATGAGAATTTTAAGATGTTTTAGTTTAACAAAGGTTGGCATCGTACCCCTGAAAGCACTTTCCTCATATCGATGTTTTGTAGAACTACTTGCTGGGCGTTAAGCAGCTGCTGTTGAGTGAGGGAGCAGCTGACATTTTGAAAAGCCTCCATCTCAGCTTGGCTGCTAAATTGGACATAGTTATCCAAATCGGTCCCCTTGCACAGGATGCTCCTCACATTGTCAGACCTTGGGATTCCCGTCATCTGAAAAACAACCATGGTAAAACATTTACAAACAAGGAAAGGTTGCATCTATGCATAACATTTGAAGTTAGGTAAGAGGTTTTTTATAACTGGTAGTTATAAAACTATCACAAAAGAGGTCTTTGTAGCAATTTTAGAGGGGATTTCTCATTATTTATATCATAAATTGAAAAGAAAAAACCACACAATTGTTTGTATCTAATCACCCAAAGGTCAACCATTTGACTCCAATGATCATCTTTAGAAGAGAGAGAAAACTAATTTGGGCTCATTATTAATTGGGGGTGACTTTGACAATCAAGTCACTGTCCACACTTTGGCTAGTTCTTCTCGGTCATGGTGTAGATCCAAAAAGGAAGCCCCTGCTCTGTATATTACATTTTTAAGCCACAACTCATAGCTGCTCTCTGACTTAACCCACATGCCTTATGCAAAGATTTAAAAATGAGAGTCGCTGATAAGAAAAGTCCACTTCAAACCAAAGAAGATTCTACCAGTTGTCATGACCTACCAAGCCCTACAAGAACAGCAGCGTCCTTGTCTATCTTTAGGTAACTGTTAAAAACCAACATCTTCAAAGAGCATCTCCTATCCTAACTCTTACCCATACCTCTGTACCCCTCTACTGCTCTTTCTGTACTTCCCTCTGTTTGCTGTCCCCACTCATTCTGACTAGGCATTTTTCCTTTACAAAAAAATATTGTCATATTGATGATAACTGTAAAGTTTAGTCTACTTTTTGAGTTGCTTTGGATAAAATCATCTCCTATGAACAAACATAAGCACTCTGTTAGACGCATCATGCTGAGGGTTTGTTAAAACTACAGTACCTCCAAATGCATCTTCAATCAAAAGCACGTCTAAACACAATAATATGCTATTAATATACAGGGGTGGAAAGTAATGAATTACATTTACTCAAGTTACTGAAATTGAGTACTTTTTATGAGTAATTTGTAATTTTCTGAGTAGTGTTTGAAATATGTAATTTTTACTTTTACTCGAGTAAATTTTAACCTAAGTAGTTTTACTTTGCTACATTTAAAACCCCCTCACGTTACCTAGTAAAAAAATAATGTAATAAAAAAAATACTGATGGTGAAATAATTTAATCTGGCCCTGCCTTGCATTTACCTGATCTTTTGCAAGTGTGGATGTCCACTGAAATACCCCTTGAAATTGATTAAAACACCTTTTGCTCAATTTGATTCATGACTCATCCTCTTTTTGCATTAAATAACACAAAGTAACTAAGTAATTTTTACTCAATTTACATTTTAAATTAAGTAATTTTGTACTTTGACTTGAGTAAATTTTGAGATGGGTAATTTTACTTTTACTCTGAGTAGAATTTAGGCAAAGTAAAGATACTTTTACTCAATTAAATTTTTTAGTACTCTTTCCACCTCTGTTAATATATAACCTTTAGACCTTATTACTATAAAGGTTCTTAAAAAGAAAATAGCAAGACTTTGCTTTAAAACTAGCTTGTTTCTCATAAACCAACTACTATCAAATAATTCTACCAAACGTAAAAAATATGTTGGCATATGCAGCAGAAATGTGTCCTTTTCAAGGTCTGATTTCACTACACCACCTCTGATCTCCATTAGGGGCAGAGGGGTCTTATGATAGAAGATTCTTAATCAGTACTAAGATATTTAAAATTAAGATGACATATAATCTATTAGTCTATTAGTGGAATATGTAAAATTACTAAAATTAAATATTGTTAAAGCAGAACATCTGTACAGATGGTTAAGATGGGACATGGCCATAAAAACGTTTCTACACCCTTGGTGGAGTGGGCCATCTGGTCTGGGTCTTAACCGAAGTTAGGCTCGGGTCTTTGGGGTCGATCTGTGCTTGGGCTTGTTGGGATCTGGAGGCTTGTCTACCTTTCTCCACCAGAGGGCACCTGAGATCTTCCTCCTGAGGGCGTTAGCTGACTTCTACACACCTGTTTCCCATCTGCTCATCTAGAGGCCTTCTTAAGGAGGAGGAGGCTGACACTTCCCTGCCAGAGTGTTTGCCAGTAATGGTATCAGCAAACCTGAGCCAGCCTAATCTAATCTGTTTTTCCTGAATTTTTGAGAAACCCTCTGACTCTGTGTTCTTCTGCCTCTCAGAACCTGACAAACCTGGAAACCAGTCAATTCCTGGAGAAAACTCTCGCTGCCTGGAACCTGCCTGTCTGCCCTCTGCCTCAGCCTCTGTCTCCGCCTCTGCCCTCAGCCTGCCGACCAGCCTCTGGACCCACAAGGTATAAGTTCAAGCCACCGTTTAGCAGCAAGTTTCTTGGATCCTCTCTAACCGATCTGTCCTCCTCTAGTTGCTTCCCTCCCGTGACCAGCCTGATGAACCAAGACGACGTTCATATTTCTCTGAAAACATTGTCAATAAATCTTCTAACTTTTTCCCTGTCTCTGAGTGTTTCTGCATGTGGGTTAGACGATTAGACCCCAACATGACAGGGCTAGAGTTTTAACTTTTCCAGGGTTGCTTGGACCTTTGGATTTCAGCTCAGGTTTTGGTGCCTGATGTTCAGACTGGAAAGGCTGCAGGATTCTGTCATAGGTCAGCTAGGTATTGTTGGGATCTTTGCATATTTCTTTCTAATGTAGTTAGAAATGCATAATTTCTTTGTCCCTTTGATACTTTTTGTCTGTTCCATTCATTCTTTTTCTTTGCAGATGTAGAAGCAGACGCGTAGGATTTAATCTTATATTTTATCATAATAATTTTTTCTCTTCTCTGTGCTTTCATTTCTGTCTCTGTGCTCAATGTATTTAGAATAATCTCCCCCCTCTCCCCAAAATATTACCAAAAAAAAATATATATATATATATATATATATATATATATACATATAGCCCCGCATTACAGCAAAAGCCATAATGCTCCATGTAAAAGTAAATCCATTTGGCTCCTCATTGAGATAATTTTGAGTACTACACTGCCAGATGAGGCAAGTAAGAAAAACAATTAAAAGAATAACTCAAACTTCTAATGGAAGAATGAGCAATATACCCTAAAAATGCAGTTAATAAAATTCTAAAATTACAAGGGTATGAAACAATCAACAGAAAGAAATTACTTTAATTTACACTGTGTTGCTTGATTAAATGAGATTCTCTTTCCCCCTTTCACATACCCTTCTTCTACAGCTTCATGTTTCAAGGCTCTCTAGCCATCAAAGAGCTCTGGTCATGGTGGCAATGTCAAAGATGGTTTTAAATGCATGTAATCTCCTTTTTCATTAAAAAAATGTTAAATTTTCCAGCTTATCTGACATTTAATACAAAAAAACAATCAGGTGAGAGACATTTAGATTAAATAAGCTAATTTCTCTGGTTGTAATTATTTTCATAAGAAATTACAGTAGCTAAATGATTGAAACTACACCGAATCCAAATGATTCCAGATGACAGTTTGACTGAATGTCAAGAGAAAAAAGTTCCAAGGCTTGCTACTGGCCAGGACATTTCAACATGAAGGCTAGAAACATGTAGTTTTATGGCACATTTGGTTATTTTAACGAGTATAACAGCATTTAAATTCCTTTTGTCACACGAAGATACGAAAAGCATTACTGTTTGCAGTTCTTATCAGAGGATTCTACTTACAGGACTGATCTGAATCTCAGCATCAATGAGGCTTTGGACTACATCTGGTGGAACCAACAAATCCTCCATCAGATGGGTGGTAAAGCTTTCGTTGTCTTGTAGGACACTTCTTAGGGTCGCTAAGAGGGGGTCACAGAGACAAAGATTGTTATTTATTAATTATTTTTAGACAAAGTTATGCATGAGGTTAAAAAGTTATAATTCTAGGGAACAAAAAAAATATTTGATGATTTCTACCTTTAAAAAAAGCTATTTTTTCTTCTGAATTGTCATTACAACCACATCACAGAAACAAACATTTATTACATTAAGTGTTATAATCTGTAGGATTTGGTTCTTCCTTCCATAATAGAAACCTAACACCTAATATGTCAGGTTTAGTGGAAGTTAGTTGAGGACCCAAATGCAAAAATGAAGAGGCTGATATGATTTCTTGCAGATTTAATTTAGAGGTAGATGGTAAGAGGCCCAAATCCAGAAATAATAAACAGGGAACCAAAACTAGGAGAAGCCAGGGAGAAACATATATTAGGAGTGAAGAGCATCCAGCAATGAGGAACTGCAGAGGAGGGGTATATATGGGAGAAAGCAATGCATGGAGTGATTAGCTAATTGGGACCAGGTGTGGACAGAAGCAGCTGAGGGGAAAGAGGAGGGTCAAGATGGAGTAAACGGGGCTTAACTGAAACTAGAAAAGAAATTAAATGAACCAACAGGGAAATAATATCAATGACTAGAAAAAACAAAGAATGAGCAAGTGGAAAACTAGAGGATAGGAGAATGGACTGGAGAGAACTGAAAAACAACCAAACAGGAATAGTAGAACTAATAAGTAATTCAAAAACATGCTATAAGCCTAACTGAAAACCCAGACTGAAAACTAAACAGAACCAAAAATTCCAGAACGGTAGATCATAACATAATATCCTGTCTTAACAAATTGATGGTGACATTTTAATGGCAGGGATAACTTTAGACTTGAAAATGTCATCAAGAAATATAGTATGCTCTTCAAGGAACATGGAAGAGGATCAATAATGATGTGGGCCTGTTTTTCTTCCAGACTTTGTGCTACCTGGACAATCTAAACAGAAATCTGAAAACTCAAACTAGATATTCCATGGGTCTTTGAGTGGTGTAGGGATCCATTTAAGCAAATGTTAGTCATAAACCTGGACTATTTTACTCTGAAAATAATGCTCTCTTCTTTAAGGTTGTATAAAAATCTGTTGCAAGATGGATGAACGCATAACCTGGATATAAAAGCCAAAAGAGCCGATACGCTTGATGCTTTGTATTTTCCAGACTATTAGCAAACTATTTTCCATCGATTATCTGCTATAACATTGAGTCAGTTTCCTAAAATCCCATCATTGCTACACTCATCGTTGAAATAAGCAATGATGTAGCACAGCAGGGGTCCAAATTCTGTGTGCCTACAAATTCAACTCATTGCTATTTTCTTTCTGTGAGTATTTTCTGCTTCTTCGGAGTCCAACTTTTTTTGTGGTTGATGATGAAGAGACCACATAAAATAATCAAATTACAGCTTTTGTAATTGTGATATGTGTGCCACAGTCAATTATGTGGATCAGATGGTAAAGGTCCAATTATGACAGATGTATTGTGGAAATGACTGGAATTAATTACATCATAGGAAACACAGTTTTCACCTTGTGAGTCCTACTGATGTCTATTATTATGCTCCTCATGACTACAGGAGGGTTTGATGACAGGGAAACAGAGCATGCTTTGCACAAATGACCACCTGGGTCTTCTTAATCAGCCCATGGTCACTACAAAACAAAAAAGAAAAGACGACACAATCACCTTTGCCATTTTAGCGTTTTTGATAGCACTTCATTCCCTTTCCTTCTTAATGATCTTTTGTGCTCTCGCCTCAGACAGCAAGTGCCATTAATTATGTCCAGGCTTAGATCTTTGATGGATTTAATCTTGTATATTACAAACCGTCGACCCCAAAATGCAAATGGCTCACAAGCCACTTGTCGAACAGCAGAGCCCTCCCTTCCTCCCTCTCTCTATTGGCTTTTTGCAAATTAGGTGCAGTATGAAAATCTGAATATCATCAGACTAAATGAGCCTAATGCAAAGCAGCAGCTTATCAAGACAAACGATCTGTCAGTCTGCATAGCAAATTGCATCATAAATAATCACACACCATTGTTTTTAAGGGATAAAGGGGAATAACAAATCCTCCAACTTGTCATCCGCATGAAGGGGATATTTTTCTTGATGGAGTGCAGTTTGACAAAGGCATGGCAGAGCTTTTTGTCTTTCTATCTTTTTCTTTGGGGGGATTGTGCACTGTCCTTATTACCCTCAAGTGTTTTTCAATTGACGGAAGAGTTGATAGCCATCTGAGCAAACTCAGCCATTGTCCAATGAATCTCTAAGTTTGGTTCAGCTATCTTATTGAGATATGTTTCCCCTGTGTGGCAAGCTTGGAGGTAGAATTGAGGTAGAATTGTTAGAACCCGAGACCCACCCAGTTCACTAAAAAGTAATGGAAATTCTCCTTTTTTTGACTTTTCTGCCTTTCCCCTAAATTTATATGAGATTTAAAAAAAAAAACATTAATTTAAACTCTAGAGAGATTCATAGATTAAATGGAGAAAAAAAAAGAAGTTGATTGCTATTGTGGTTACCAATCTCCTTACGTTTGCCGAGGTTGACTTTGGATAGGACTGAAGTCCACTGGTCAACATCATCTACCAGCAACTGCACCCCGCTGAGGAAAGACCTGTCTGCCAAAACAGACTGTAGCTCTATCAACACTCCAGCAATTCTGACACATTGAAAAGACAGAGGAGATATAAAAAAATATGTAAATAAAAAGCAGTACTACCACGTTAATGGAGACATTATGTTTTGTGTTATTGCAGACTTTACATTGAGTTGTCGAAGTTATTGACTTGGCCTGGTGTCTCCCCTGGAGGTGGGTGGTTTAAACAAGGGTTGTCGATGTTGCATATCATACCTTGAAGCCATGGCAGCATGCCGGCAGATGGCATTGCTTTGTTTGGGTAGTGACCTATGGAAAAAGAGAGAGAGAGAGAGAGACTTGAATGCACGTTCTTTGACCATATCTAACTGAAGGGTAAAGATTGAGCTAAAATAATATCTATTGACGACTATCATAAAAGGCCTTGTCATAGTGATACCAGATACTGTCAGTATGTGACTTTTCTTAGCAAATTTAGGTGTGAAGTACGATCATATTAGTAGGAGCAATGGATAAAATAATATGTGCTTTGAACTTGACATGCAATATATTATAGTCTATTAGAGCAATGAAACAAAGTGTTCATTGATGTGTTGAAATGTTTCAATAATGTTTATCAGGCTAAGTAACAAGACTTGGTTACAAAAGCTTTCAAGATGCTAGCTAACGAAACTTGCTTACCAACTCTATTAATAAGGTAACTAGGTAAACCTTCTTACAAAAGCTTTCAATCAGCTAACAAAAAAAACTTCCTTACAAAATCTTTAAAGAAGCTAACTAGAAAAACTTACTAAAGCTTTCAAGATGGGACCTAAAAAAACTTGCTTACATAAGCTTTCACTAAGCTTTCCTTCACAGTCAAACTATATGTGTGACATATTGTTGGATAAAAATAAGCCCCAAAAATGTGTAAGATCTATGAAATATACATCTGTTTATTAGCTTCATTTGAACATATAAAAAGTCTAAGATATAACCAATCCAAAACAATCTATTGTTTTTCTTAACATACATTTTTTCTAATAAAAAAAAAACCTTGATATTTGTGCAACCAAAACCACCTTTATCAAGCACAAAAAAGTACCAATATTTAGTCATTTTTTTTATGGTATTATCACCACCTAAGTGGTTTATATCCCTTTATTGTCCTCTTTTGATCCCCAATTGATTCACAAGGACACCAGGTCCCAAAGGGAAACCCAGACATCCCCAATTACACTATTATCTAATCTGGGTTTGACTCAGACTTTCCTTTTAGTGAAGTATGCCTTGACAATAATCAAAGAGAGAAGGCCACATATCCTGATTAAAATGTTTGAACAATATCAAATGACTCATTTGAACATGAAAGAGCACCTGGTCTACGCAAAACTCATGATGGAGCTCCTCTTCATCGTTTAATACTGTGCCAAGTCACCAAACTAATTTTAGCCACTTGAATGTAGAATCTTGTACTCATGATTCATATCTTTGCATCACATGTCGAGCTAGAATGTGACCAGATAAGAGAATCGAGTGCTTCACTTTTTGGCTCAGCTCCTTCTTCACCTTATCAGGAAATGCACCAACAATGATACCCAACATTTTAGGAGACCCCTGCTTGAAGCTGTATTACAAATTCACCATATCTGTCTGTCTGTCTGTCTATCTGTCTATATAGATATGTATGTTTTTTATTCCAGCTTGACCTTTTCCCTCTTTTGCACCTCCTGTTGTTTATTATAGCTGATGTCACGTGTCAATTTCTACTTTGTGAGATCAATAAAGTTCTATCTTATCTTATCTTATCATCTTATCTTATCTGATCTCATAGCTCATAAACAAACTATAAGATATTTTAATATATAGCTGAATTCCTCTGCTTAAAGGACATCCAAACAGATGCAACAATCCACCTTTTGTGAGTCAATAATCATGACCTCTGTCAAATATGCTGACTCTCATCCCAGACAGTTTCATAACCAGGTGTCAAGCTGTGTTCAATGCATTCTGAAGGTCAAAGTTTAAGGACAGAAACAAAATGACATAATTTGCAAAGTTCAAGGATGCAGCCCTGGGCCCAGAATGAGAGATCATCTTTCTACCTTGAGATCCTGTCGCTAAAATGCTAAAAAGATTATTGACAAAAGGAAGCCTTGCAGAGTACACTCCATAGAGGAATGAAGCTTAATTTTGTGCCAAAATGGTAGAAACAGCCTTTTGTTTGGTATTACAAGGACCAGTATTACGAGTCCCTTTAATATGAACACAGTCACCACAGAGTTTGAAAGCATTAAAACCGCAATCCTTGAAATATTCAAATCCACCTAATTTAAATGCTTAGTCCTTCTAAAGGTTATAAAAAATTATTCTAATATCGTTTTCATGAATGCAGTGCATCTGCTGTAAAAAAAAAAAAAAATATATATATATATATATGTATATACTCCAACCCTCCACAAAGACACACCAAACCCTGCAGGGATAATAATGATATAAAAATGATGTTGATTAAACTTGTAATAGTTTTTGATTAATATTTCACACAGAGTAACACAATGGGGACCATTTTCTGTGTAGAATAAGCCTTGGCTTGTACTTACATTGGTCTTTGTAAACTGGTTTGGTGGTAGACCTCACCGCTACCAATATGAAGAATAGAAAAAGAGGCCATACCAACTCTATAACCAGCCGCACCTGCAACAAAGATAATTTTCATTTTATGCAAATACTTTCCTTATAAAATACATGGGAAAGTCATTATGGCCATAGTAATTTGCCTTACTTTGTCATCTGTTAACAATAAATCCCCCTTAATCTAAAAAAAAGTCAGAGCCCATACAATAGAATAGAATACAATAGAATAGAAAAGAAAAGAATAGAAAAGAAAATGTGGTGGGGAGGTTCAGGTATACTGTATCTGCAGCAACATGAAACATAAATGTAGGCACCCAAATACACATGAAGGTAAAATGTTAAAAGTCAATCTCAGTTCCTAACAACTAAGCTTAAATAATAACCTGACCAGAAACTGTTCAGAAAGTTACAATGAAGAAAAGAAAATGTTTTTATCCGTGTTTTCAGCTCCATGTTGATGTTTGAGTTCAGTTCATCACTTTACATCAGCTTTCCTCAGTTTACTCTGGCTATTACTCCAAACACAAGATTTAGAGAGCATTTTCTGCCAGTAAGTCTCTAAACTGAAGCTATCACACACTCCTTATCTCGTTGCCACACTCAATCCTCTCTTGAAAAAAAGAGTGTCAACCACTTCTTTCCGTTGATACAACCACTTCTTGCCACCTTGCAGGCAGAGTCCCAAGCGGCATGTCAGGTTTTTATTTTAACACCCGGGATTAGCGCAAAGAGTCAAACCAACAAAGCACAAATGTTGACCTCAATGCTTAACTTTCCCCTCAGGAAACTTATGTACAAATTGATTTGATGTTTTCAGGAGTTAAAATGACATATTAGCCAGAAACTAAGGAATGCAGAACATTTGGAATTAAAAGGAAAAACCCCCCTGAAACCCAAGAGAAACTTACCTAGCTACTGTAAACCCCTTTTTCATTTTTTTTCCCCCGAGGGGTTGTTATATCACTATTAGCTTCAGCAACCGCAAATTATAACAATGGATATCAAATAGGCCATTTACTAAAATCTCAGAGAATTTGGTCAAATGAAAGTTTTCTCTGTAAAAGATTAGTTCTATCATTTATATATTTTCACTCAGCTTCTGAATTTGTCTTTTGAACACTGTACTAGTTTAAATTGTATATGAAGGTAAGGAATTGTATGTGTTAATACTGTAGATAAGTTAACATCAGAGGAAAAACTCAGAGACAGGATTCTCCCTCTTTCGGACCCTTATTTTTTTATCTGTATATTCCCCAAGCTCTGAAACACCCAGTTTACAACAAACTCTGCACTTTACACATAGCTCTATATTACAATGTTAGCAGGTGACTATAAATCTCTAAAAATGCTGGGTAAATGCATAGATTAAATAGATGCATGGATGTGCCAAAGGTTTCTTAAGAGAAAAAAAAAAACCCTGAAGTAATAAGTTTTGAGCGATCAAATGTTAGCACACAGCTTTGGTTAGTAAAGGTGCTATGATCTGTCCTGGACTCTCAGTGCAGTGATGTACTCAGATGTGAAACTTCAGAGGTACATGAAGACTAAGACCTCCTTACAACAACTCAATGACGCTCAGTCAAACTTGATGCAATGGGGATACCCTGCTCATTATACATGAAGGTTGTAGCAAGAACTTGTGGAATTCCAAAAAAGTAAAAAAAAAGCATCCACTGGACTTGTTTCCAAGTTTGAAGATGTTTCACTTCCCATCCAGGAAGCTTTTTCAATTCAAAATGTTGGGAATAGCGTTGAGTTTGAGGCTTTATAGAGTGGACCAAAATTTAAAACCGTGTTTTGGGTTAGAAAACATGCAAATTGAACCTGACGAACGGCTCTGCCCCTTAGGAATGGGTAGTCGTTTGGGTTCTTTGTTAGACTGCAATACGTTATACCTGTCTATGTCTCTGAAACGTGGGGAAATTTTACATGAACTGTCAACTATGAAACTAACACTAGCCCATGCCTTACCCTAACCCTAACCCCTAAACCAGTAGTAAACATGTTACCATACATAACCACTAAAAGCGTATCATGCGGCACAGTGTTTGCAACCTTTCACGCAGCCTGCATGTCCATCTATGAGAAGAGGGGTAGCTTTATCACACCAGTATCTGAAATACATGGTTTGACCAAGTATCAATATTTGACAAGTTACAGGTGCTGGTCATAAAATTAGAATATCATGAAAAAGTAGATTGATTTCAGTAATTCCATTTAAAAAGTGAAACTTGTATATTATATTCATACATTACATACAAACTCATATATTTCAGATGTTTATTTTGTTTAATTTTGATGATTACAAATGACAACAAATGAAAATCTCAAATTCATCATATCAGAAAATTAGAATATTGTGAAAAGGTTCAAAATTGATGGCCCCTGGTGCCACACTCTAATCAGCTAATTAACTCAAACCACCTGCAAAAGCCTTTAAATGGTCTTTCAGTCTAGTTCTATAGGCTACACAATCATGGGGAAGACTGCTGACTTGACAATTGTCCAAAAGACGACCATCGACACCTTGCACAAGGAGGGCAAGACACAAAAGGTCATCGCTAAAGAGGCTGGCTGTTCACAGAGCTCAGTGTCCAAGCACATTAATAGAGAGGTGAAGGGAAGGAAAAGATGTGGTCGAAAAAAGTGTACAAGCAAGAGAGATAACCGCACCCTGGAGAGGATTGTGAAACAAAACCCCTTCAAAAATGTGGGGGAGATTCACAAAGAGTGGACTGCAGCTGGAGTGAGTGCTTCAAGAACCACCACACACAGACGTATGAAAGACATGGGTTTCTGCTGTCGCATTCCTTGTGTCAAGCCACTCTTGAACCACAGACAGCGTCAGAAGCGTCTTGCCTGGGCTAAAGAGAAACAGGACTGGACTGCTGGTGAGTGGTCCAAAGTCATGTTCTCTGATGAAAGTAAATTTTGCATTTCCTTTGGAAATCAAGGTCCCAGAGTCTGGAGGAAAAGAAGAGAGGCACTTCATCCACGTTGCTTGAAGTCCAGTGTAAAGTTTCCACAGTCAGTGATGGTTTGGGGTGCCATGTCATCTGCTGGTGTTGGTCCATTGTGTTTTCTGAGGTCCAGGGTCAACGCAGCCACATACCAGGAAGTTTTAGAGCACTTCATGCTTCCTGCAGCTGACCAACTTTTTGGAGATGCAGATTTCATTTTCCAACAGGACTTGGCACCTGCACACAGTGCCAAAGCTACCAGTACCTGGTTGAAGGACCATGGTATCCCTGTTCTTAATTGGCCAGCAAACTCTCCTGACCTTAACCCCATAGAAAATCTATGGGGTATTGTGAAGAAGAAGATGCAATACACCAGACCCAACAATTCAGAAGAACTAAAAGCCACTATTAGAGCAACCTGGGCTATCATAACACCTGAGCAGTGCCACAGACTGATCGACTCCATGCCACGCCGCATTGCTGCAGTAATACAGGCCAAAGGAGGCCCAACTAAATACTGAGTGCTGTACATGCTCATACTTTTCATGTTCATACTTTTCAGTTGGCCAACATTTCTATAAATCCTTTGTTTTTATTGGTCTTCAGTAATATTCTAATTTTCTGATATGATGAATTTGAGATTTTCATTTGTTGTCATTTGTAATCATCAAAATTAAACAAAATAAACATCTGAAATATATGAGTTTGTATGTAATGTATGAATATAATATACAAGTTTCACTTTTTAAATGGAATTACTGAAATCAATCTACTTTTTCATGATATTCTAATTTTATGACCAGCACCTGTAGGTGTGAGAATATGTTATAAAGACAGTGACTGTCAGCACACCATATTTGAGTTTTCCTGTCTTCTTTGAATCTCTGCCTCCTTATACATTGAGAAGGACTGTCCAAGAAAGACTGGAGTCCTGCATATGATCCTGCCGCCATGTTCAGTAAAACACATAAAACTACATTCTTAATGTTCTTTCTTGGTACTTGTTAGGATTTGGAGTTCTTCTATCTTGTTCCCTATAGATTTTTAACATAATGTGTGAATTGAATTTCCTTCTTCTGTTCTTGCTCCTGCTCTACATCCTCCTTGCCTCCATTTGACCTAACTGTGACTTGCGGGAGTAGCTGTAGAAGAGCAAACTGCCATTTTTGCTATGGTTATGTATACTAAAAAATTTGTAAAAACAAAAAGATATTGGCAAAAATAATTTTAGCTGCGTGAGGTGAAATACCTCACAAAAAGGTGAGGTGTTGGTCTAGTGATTAGGGCATAGAGCTTGGAATCCTGATGTTCTGAGTTTGAGCCCCACAGGTTGCTACTCAGGGTCCTCGAGCCAGTCCCTTAATCTCATAATCCTCCCTGGGCACTGCACAAATACAGCCCACTGCTACCCAAGGGGATGGTTTAAACACAGAGCTAAGTTTCTCCAGTGTGAGATCAATAAAGTTCAGTTATTTATTTAAAAAAGGAAACTTTGAGCTGTTACAGTGGTTTTATGTCTTCATTTTGTTTAAGGTGAGGTGACCTGGTTAGACCAGTCAGATGGATAAAAAAGGGGTAAGTTCAAAAAACTTTTCACTTTTTCCCACCACTGTTGAGATATAATTACTAAATTGTACATAAAATTATAAATTATATGTGTCATTTTCAGTCAGTTATGTCATGCATAACTGATACATAATTTAGATATATATTTAAGTTTTGCATAGCTATTCAATACGTTGAATATGTAATTTTATTGGCTTCTCTGAAATAAAGTTGATCGTTAATTTGTTCGTTTTACTGAAGATATCATTGGAATTAATATGAGATGAAAACTGTTCTTTTCCTGATAAGTAAACAAAATTGGGGTAAAATGTGCTGAAATTCTGAATATTAATAACAATGATGAAAATTACAAACTAGTCAATTCTGTTTCAGGTATCTGATTCCATCTAGTCGGTATGTGTCACTGCAGATCTGCTGAGAGCAAACCTTATCCAAATGTATTACAAACTTACGAGGATTGGACAGTGATTGCACATCCCCGAGACTTTCTCAGTGTCAGGCTCCCCTCAGCATTATTCCATTGGACACAAGAGTCTTTGTGAATAGATAATCTCCTAAGAAATTATGCTGAATACCGGACCATAAAAATCAGTTTCATGCCTGTTATAAAATCCTAAAATGCCTGGTGAGGCATTCATATAATTGGTCATTAACCTCCACAAGCCCACCACAAGCACCATTGTCCTTGCTAACTCCCAGTGGTTTATCCTAATAATAATTTTTCATGTTGACGTCGGCTAAATACCAGACAATCTGAGCATGAAGCCACAACTGTCTAATTATATGTACATCATTGTAGAAAGGTGTCCCGTGTTTTTATCCCACGAAAAAAATACCCATCTGTTTTGCTATTAAACTGTTAGATTAACAAAAGCCATAAAATTCTAACTCTGTTCTCAGCTGCTATGAATGTGCATTGATATTACTAAGTTTCTCATTTTTTCATATACTCCTAAAAAAGACAGCAGATAAAAACTGCTATGCTTGAGTCCCCTGACAAAAAAAACAACAACAAAAAAAATTGTGTGGATGTGTGTCTTGTATCGCCTCACACAATAAATTAAACAACACCTTGCAGATCTCTGTAACAACAACACCAGCCTGAAAAACCAAGTAAGTCACTCTAGATTCCTGAACTTCCTCTTTGGATGCTTCAAAGGCTGTTGTAATACTTAGGTAACTCTGAATTGACAAGATGAAATGTTTCAATTGAAATCAAAGGCAACTGTAGAGTGCAATATTGACAGTTTGTTTGAGGGCAGAGCAAATGTAAATGCAATCCTTTCTCTCTCTTGAACTGAAGAAAATTAACCTTAAAAAAAAACAGGACCTTCTTCCCATCATGTGTGCTTTTCTGATTGAATTAAGAAAAAATTTGAGTTTTACCCAGGTGCTTGGCATTTCAGCCCCCCACCATTTCATACGTTGGTAATTTTTATAATTTCTTAACCAGTTTTTTTGCCCTAATCACTATATAGGGCAATATATAGTGGTTACGCCTTTTTAGATGAGTGTCGGAACATCTAGTGGATTAAAAATTAGTGAACTCGAAATTTCCAACAACACGCCTTGAAAATTACCAATCATCTTCCAATATCTGCTCGGGAAATTGTTGCCATAGGCTGTCTCTACCTGACAGCGGCGACACATACTGTAACAAAGACAGCGCAGGCACTGAGCAGGGAGATGGAGTGAAGTGACCAACGGGGAGCAAAAGTAGTGATCATCTGTCCAAACGGTAAGTTAACTGAGTTCACCATAAAGTTCACTTTATAGTCCCGCTCTATGTAGGGATTGAGGGATTTAGGCGGACATTCGGACACAGACAATGTGCTCTGTCAGTACATCTTTACTCCTATATACATATGTGCTTCCTTATCCTCAGTGGTTAAGATACTCACTAATAATAGCTCCACAGTGTTAGGAATCCAGTTTGTGTGGGTTGTTTGTGTGTTTCTTCTCTCTCCACCACTAGGTGGTGCCCTGTCCTCATTGGGCCTCCCTGCACACTTGCGGCTCTTTGGTTCATTACTGAAGGAGTATTTGAGCTGTGGGCTGTCACTACCTCGACGCCAGAGTGTTTGCCAGTTTTGGATACTCTAGCCAAGCTGAGATTAGCTGAGTATAACCTAGCTTTGTTTCTCTGAGTCTTATGTGTTTTTGCCTTTGCTCTTCGGCAGGAAGCCTTCCTGTGAAAACTGGATACCAAGACCTTCTCCCCCTGAAAGGTAATACTGAGTTTACACTGAGAAGTGGAAAACCTCCACATGATCTATTCAAGTCCCCATTAGAAATCCAAGTGACAGTCTGCTCCATTACTCCTCTGGGTCCAACGTAAGTCTACCTGTCTGCTCTCCAATGAGTTCCCTCTTCTCTGGATAATCACACACAGACTGGATTCAAGGATTGACAAGAGCCCCCTCAAACGTGATTCCCTCTCCAGCATAATTCAAGCCACAGTCTCATTTCCCACGGTCCCTGACCTTATCTCTGTGATCTCCCCTTCAGACTTTCCAGTTTCGGTTCACCAGTTTACTGAGTTTCAGATCCAACCTCTGTTTACATTACATCAAATAAACCCGTTAAACTTTTCCCTGTGTTCTCTGAGTGGTTTCTCTGCATGTAGGTCAGTTTCCTTAAACTGATCATGACACACAGATTGTTCTTTTTTATAAAACTTTTTTCTGTTGATAATGTCCAATTTTAAACAAATGATAATAATTATTCAAGTAAGGATATATATTTTAGAGACAAGTATTCTGTAAGCTTCTTTGTTGGATGCCTTTGAAGAAAAGAAAGGACTTTAACAGCATCAAAAAATGCTGCATGGCAGATGAAATCGAAGTTAAGGCCTGTAGTGAAATTAACTGAGACAGTCAAACCTTTAAGTTGCTTTACTGTGACTTTTTAAAGTGCTAACAAGCAAACTAGGCCTTCAAAGCAGTACAATTTTCAAGTGAACAATGGATATTTATATCCTGTGTCAGATTATTTTCGAAATTCTTGATGTCACATTAATTTAGATTATTGATTAAGGAAAAAAACTGTCATCAAAGAAAACATCATAAAATATGTAACCAAAAAAATGTTAATTAAAAACTGCAGATTTTCTATTGATAGTTTTGCAACCTTCTATTGCATGTCTGATCTGTGAGAAGAAAGACTTTCTGCCCTTCAAACGAAGCCTTTTAAAGTCCCTATCCATTTCCACTGGGCCTAACAATGACTTGGTGAGAAGTAAAATACAAGCAATGTGACATAACGGGTAGAAGAGATAGATCATCAGAAATTGAAGGTGACACTCTGAATTGGCTGGTATTAAGATAAGATTGTTCTCGTTCTCTAGAGAGGGAGTTAAAGATAGCTTACTTCTATAAGAGACAATTTTTGTTGTAAATCCCTGCCTATTACCGTTCCTCTCCATGAATAACTTAGCTGTCCTTGATAACACAAGTCTTGGACCACATCCTCATTTTCCCCCTATTGCTGACCAATTCTGGCAGATACACATTGATTCGTGTAGAAAAGAAAAAGAAGGCGGCTGGAGAGCACAAGTGTACCTTTTGTCTCTTCCGGAGAGTGAAGTTCTTCCACAGGAGCAGAGAAAACTGCGTCAAGAGACCCATTATGGCTTTTCCTGGCAATATCGTGCCAGTGCGTCGCGATGGCAACTGGCCCACTTACTAAATCCTGGAGGGAATAAAAAAGGCAGAGTTTGGTTTTAATACAGCTGCGCAATGCATCTTGGGGGAGTGCCACTAATCACTCACTTCCTCGAGCCTTAGGGCTTACGGTGCAGCACCTGTTCGAAGAATTATTATCACCTATGCTCAGCAAATCTCAGGACAGCCAACATCTCAGCATGTGAAGATTATACGGTTTTCCCCCATAGCACAAGATTTTTTCAACAAACACCATGAATTTCAAAGATAATACAACCTATAATAGAAGTAGAGGAAAAAATTATTCTGTCAAACAGTGAAAAAGTCAGTGCCTTTAGTCTTCCTTATTCAATAGTTAGCATTAAAAAAAGACTGCAACAGCTTCCTCATTTTTTTAACAGAAACAAAATTCTGATGTAAAATATTCATAGCATGTTTTATGAGCTACGTAACTTTGAGAACATAGTTAATAAACAACCGTGTCTGCTTTGCTTTTTTTATGCTCCTAGATCAGTTATGACCTTTTTATTATAGCACCACACGTGACTGTCTTTCTACTGACTTCACCCAGCTTGTTGGCTTTGAATATAGTGCAGATTACAGAGACATGATTGCTGCTTCTCTTTATGTCCGGCCTGTTATTGTTGCTTCATTGCCGTCCTTTTTTCTATTTCCACATAAAACAAAACCTAAACCAAATCCCACGTTGAAGCTTATTTAGACTTTAGACAGACTTGATTTGTCATTTTGTACACACAGAGTGTATAAAAAGAAATTTCAGTACAGCTCTCAAGACATTTTCTTTTTTTTTAAGTGCAGCCGTGATAAAGGTAAGCAGCAGTGATAATGTAAACTTACCACTGTACTTTAGTTACAGTTCCAACATTCATGTTTTTTTTATAAACCCATTTTATACAACATTAAGCAGTACTGCAGATACAAACAAAGCAAAACACTTTTCTGTGCTTCCTAACAACAAAACAATGATTGAGTGTCTATCAGACACATATAACAACCCCTCATATGAAAATGACTGAAGTGGCAAAAGATGGTGCCATAGTCCACAGCTTGCTATTTTAGCAAGGGGTGATTCTGGGTAAACTGGGGCCTATCTTTCTTGAATGTAGGAATGTAGAGGCCCTGGTCTCTTCCCCTTCTGTCAGAGTTGGCCAGGTAAGTGTTAAGTTGCTTAAGAACAAAACGCTGATATTGAAGATTCCTTCTCTTCTAATGAATTTAATTGAATGATAGAATTCCTCTTTGAGAGCACCTTGGATATCTGAGAGGTCAATGATTTTTGAGAGCTTTGCCACCTGTTGTGTTTATCTAAGTCTTAGCAGACATCATCTCAAAGAGGAGTAGTATTGGAGTTAAATGATTGTCGACATAACAGTTATCACATCCTCATGGTTTTGAGATTTCAATACATATGCATGCTGTCTTGATACAATAATGGTTACTGAGTGTTACTACATGACTTGTCTGTTTCAAATGTAATGTTTTGATATAGATCCAATATGGTGCTGTGCGTAGCTGCCATGGTTTTAGGTGCCCTTTGTTTTATTGTGTGTTAAAGCCTTTCTCTGCTGTGATCCCAGTAGCTCTATCACTGGAGAGGAGCTAATAAACATTAGAGGGAACAACTTAAGTTGATTTCTTTTTTACTTTTCAGTGGAATTAGTGACCATTTTGGTCACTCCTTTTATACTATAGAGTGGCGCAGGAGAGGAAAGAGAGACAGGTCCATTATGCGTCTTCACCGAGAGTATTCCATATGCCAATGCTGGCAATATTTCTTGTCAATGTTCACTCATGTGCAACAAACTGGATGGACCTTAGCTATTGGTGAAGATAATCAGATACTTTATTCATCTACTTTTCTTTGCCTTATGGTGACTGAATTATCTAAACAGATACTGGTCTCTGTGCAGCAGCTGGCTGGCATCCAAATGTTCAGAGTGGACTTTGACACAAGAGGAGAGGTATCTGCTTTTAAATCTGAAGAAGCTGTGTACTGATGTGACAGTGAGTTACCAGCAATGCTTTTTAAATCTGAAATATGTTATTGTTAACTACAAACTTTTCTCTCCCCCATGAGTTTGCTTTATTTACAATCACTGGTCTTTATATTTTGCCACTGGGCAGCGAGGATAACACAAGACAAGACACTGTTTGTGGAGAAGACAAAACTAAACATTGTTCTTCATGTTTTCCTGTTACTTAAATAAATTTTTCAATTCAAGGCAATTCGATTAAATTCCGTTTAACTTGATTGATTCCAGTTAAGTGTATTCACATACCTAGCACCAATTTACAACACGTCATCTCAGGGAACGTTGCAGGGACAACCCAATCAAATCACACTAAAACTTGATTAAATGTTTGCTGATTGCATCCAGTCATTGGCTTTTCAGGATTTCCTCCTCATGGATGAGCATGTAGCGATAGCAGACATTCACTTGCATTGTGTGGTTGACTCTGCAGCAATCTCTTAGTACGCATGAATGCATGAAAGTGGAGAGAGAAAAAAACTCTTTAAACAGGAAAAAAATCTCAGGTAAATACAGGCTCAGTGTTAGCAGGCTTTCCTCTGAGGCTGACTGGGGGTTTAGAAAGGACTGAAGCAGACAGGGGCAGGCTAGGGTTGAAATTTCAGCCTGGCTGCTTAGTTTGGAGAGGCTTTAAACCATGACAAGATTCATGATTATAATTTAAACAGTTTGTTTCCAGTACAATTTTTTTTCAACAACTACAAGTACAGATATGTATGCATTTTTGATCGAAATAAAGACTAAATCTAACTTACTAATAGCTTATAGTAATATTAAAAATCATAGCAAATGAATAAGTTCACACAACCTATATACAAGATGTCCCTGAATGTTATCAATTTCACCCTGTTTTCAGATTTTAAAAAGCCACATGTCGGACTACAATCCCCAGATGACAAAAAGGTTAATATAACGCTATGCAAAGATCTATTTTCAATCAATCCCTGGATAATAGATCTCTACATGGAACTGGTTTTCTTTAGGTTTCTGCTCAACTTCCATTGTTCTTCTCCACCTGACACTCTTCCATCCCTTTTCTCTCTCCTCCTCTTACTCCTCAGCCTCTTACAAATAAACAGTAAATTACTCTACAATTTTTTTTTCAGCTATCAAAGACATTTTATAGAAACAGGACAGGAAAACAGAGTATACATTTATTTAAAAGTTGTTTTGTTTTGTCTGTGGATAGGTAGGGCTCTGAAGTTTTATTTAAAAATATTTTTCAAGCAAAGAAAAGAGCCTGAATCTCTGACTTCCAAAAGTGGCGTTTTATTAAAAAGAAACTTGGCATTAAAATGTTTGGGTCTTTACACTATCTCTGAAGTATCCGTCAGGCTATTCACAGTTTAGAGAAAAGGGTAAATTAGCAACATGGATGGTCAATCAGGGGAGTTAAAGCCAGAAAGCCACTCCTCTCTGTCCTTTAATGTCATTTCATATAAAGCTTTAGTCGTAGATTCACTTTGCATGGTATAAAACTGCAGAGTAATATATGCTTGCTCTTCAGAGCTGTAACTATGCATAAAGAAAAAGGTTTCATAACCAAATTTGAATTATAAACTAAGGTGCACACAATATTAAAACATTTCTCACCCTTGCATTCCTCTCCCTAATGATCAAGGGGGTGAGTCGTACCACAAATCAATACATCAATGTAAAAAGGTGTAGGGAATTGGCACTGTTTGCTGGGATTAGGGGTTAGGGATCATTGCCCAAGACCTGAAGTGGTATGGAGGACCTAGAGAAACACTGAAAAAGCAAACCAGTCATTTCAAATTAGGCTGGGATTAGGCTGGAATTTTTTTTTTATTCTGTTGCTGTTTTTAAATCATTTATAGAGCAATTTATAATTTTAATCAAGCACCAGCACCCCTTGCAACCCCACTTGGGATAAGCATGACAGAAAATGGATTGATGAATGGATCATTTTAAACATACAGAGCATTTAAGCATTTATAGAGATTTCAAAATGTCAATATCATGAAGAAAATTAGGAGTCAAATGCATAATAATATGCTTACTATGTATGAAGTTAAAGTTAACGCTGAGCCCTTCAGTTCATAGGTCAGTATTGGTGGCTCTTTCTATGACTCAGTTGCTATGAAGTACTGTAGCCCCCGGCCTTAAAAAGGTTGGTGACCCCTGATCTAGAGGATTCTTCTGCGTTGGTACTTGGAAGCTTCTTCTTCCAGTTGGCAGAGTGGGCATTGAACCTCAGTATAAAAAATGTACATTTGAATGTTTCTAGTAGCATACAAATTCTTCCTTTTTCTCCCCAGCTTTTATGGTCAATACACTGTCACAAGTACAGAGCAACGAAATGAACCCTCTGTATTTAACCCATCCCCTTGTAAAGCAGTGTGGGGTAAAGGTTTTTGCTCAGGGACAGAGAGTGTCAGTATATGGGAGCAGGGCTTGAACTCAGAACCTCTGGATAACAAGCGCAATTCCCTAACCATTAGGTCACACTCCCATAATGTTAAATGTTAATGTCCCCAAATGTTAAAAATGCTTCCCTAATTCAGACGGATCTCAAACTACAAACCTAAATCCCCCACTCCAACAATGACTCTATCCTTGCAAATGAGATGAACCAGTTCTACTGCCAGTTTGATAGTCTATTAGTCACCATCCCCCATGACTCCTTCTCGCAGTATCACCCCTTGTCCTCTCTCATCAGAGTTGGCTCTTGCAATCTCCAATTTAGACAGACTGTTTAAGAGGCAGAAGACCTGCAAAGCAGCTAGGCCAGTCTTTGCTTCCCCACACACCCCAAGGAATTGTGCTGATTAGATGTCTCCGATATTCACAGACATTTCTAATACCTTACTACGACATGTCATGTGCCAGGCTGCTTCAAAACCTCCACCATCAAAATTACAGAAACACCCTCTCCCTTTCACCCATCATTTCCCGAGACCTAAAGTGGTATGGAGGACCTAGAGAAACACTGTCATTCCAGTCATTTCAAATTTAA